GGGGCTGCGGCTGCGGGGGCACGGCGGCTTCGGCCGGGGCGGCGGTGCGGGGATTCAAGATGGTCTCTGGGAAGGAAGAGCCCGGTGCTGGGGGATCGGCGAGGGCTGCCTGTCTGAGTTGGAAGGGGAGATTTGTCATAAGTGAGGAGAGACTTTGCCATTTTGAGGGCTGAGGGTAGATTTTTTTTTTTTTTCCCCCTAGTGCGCTGTAACCAGGTCTTTCTGTTGGAAAACTGTGGAGTGGGAAATGCCTCGAATTTCACAATTGCGTGCAAATATGCATTAATGTTATCCAGATTCTTGCACTTAGGGACTTACCAAAAGCTGCTCCCTCAGTAAGCCTGCGACCGTGCAAGCGTTTATGTATTTGTTTAAACCTAGGCATGTGCATTTTTTTAGAGCTCTGAGCCTAAGTTCTGCCATTTTTAATGCTTCCATTGGCTTCAATGGGGTTACTTAAGGGATTAAGAACTTGTAGTATGATTGAGAATATGCAGGATCAATCTCCGTTTGAAGACGAGATGAGTTAATTAATTAAAAATATAGTCAGTTTGTTCTGATAAGGCAAAGACAATTAACCCTCTTGACAAGCAGCTAAAAACTCAAATTATCCCAAGAATGATTTTCAGTTGGTTGGTGTGGTTTTCTTTTTATTCTTTCAATTAGGCGATATTATTGGAGAAACAGCCTTTGATAAGACCATATTTTCACATAAAATTGTGAGGGTCTTTTTATAGGTTGTTTCCCTCTGCAACTTTCCTGTAGAAGGGAAGGGGCTGGAAGCTGCATTCCTGAAAAAATACTTGCCATTCTTACAGCGAATCTTGCCCTCTTTTTTTTTTTTTTTTAAATGAAATGTTACGTTTCGTCGCATTCAGGCTGCTTCTCAAATCTTTCAACACCAGTTATCTAAGGCTTTTCTCGAAACTGTCTTGAGTTTTTAGATTTTCTTCATTAAAAACCAATTATCTCTTTTGACTTTCAGTGCCAAAACCTTGATGCAATAAATAAGTTGAGGTTTGGAGATGGGGGGGAATCGTGCAGCAGAAGCTATGCTGTTTCTTCCTCTCTTCCCCCATTATTAAGAAGGTGTCATAACAGAGTGTGGTGCTAAACAGCAGAGGTAAAATGACAGCATTCCATTTCCAAATGCTCAGCAAGTCCTGAGGACTGTAATCAATACAAGTTTTTAGATTAAGCTTGGTAGGAAGTGATGCACAGTTCAGACATAGTAGGAGAAGCTTAGGGAAGTGACTCAGGTTTAAAAGCCAATTTCTTCTTTGATGTGCCTTCTAGTTTTTGCTGGACCCAGTCCAGCTTTGCTGTAAATGTGATGCCGTTGCAAATGAATGCTGTATGAATCAGTTCTAACATGGGACCATCAGCCTCTTCTAACCTCTGTCTCTTTCAGGAGACAAGGATAGTCTCCTTTCTCTCCTGGTCTGGCAGGGCTGTGCTGGTGGGTATGGGAGCAGCATGGAAACATGCTGGTTCCTTGTTGCCTGTCTCATCTTGGCCTGCCTACTTGGCTTTTGAAATGATTTGGGATGCCCACAGGATAAGTGCTTAAATGGGCCCATAAAGCTTGAGGTTTGGCTCTCCCTTCTTGGTTTCATTTGATTGGGTAGTAACGTGACCCACAATGAAACTATCTAGGCCATTTGGGATTTGCCAAATAAACCTTGGGCTTGTTGTCAAACTGTATTTCCTGGCACATGCAAGCAAGTTAAGTAGCGCCAACAGATACTGAGTTGATACAGATATAGGAATGTTCCTAATTTGGGGAGGATTCCCTTTGAAAGGAGAGGAACTTGGTCACAGAACAGAAATAAATACTGAATAAGTGCTTCACTTAAAGGTACTTGTATATGATGTGCATCCACAGTCACAGGTGAACTGAGGAAAACACATTCTTGCTATGTGTTATATTTTGGGGCAGAGGGTGTTAACTCAGTGAAAGAGGTCATATGGTAATAACAAAGCAGTTGGCATGCAACCTCTTTGGGAAGCATTGGTCTAAGGACAGCCCTAATTATACCATTTTTTACCATTAGTTTAACAAGGAATTCTTTGGACAGCCTTTCATATTAGATGTGGCTCTGGTAAGCTGATGCACCTTCAATTGCTAAAGGTAATAGCAGTGTAAATAGGCATGCAAGTTTAGGGTTTTTCTGTTAGGGTTAGTGTTTTGCTTATGTTTATATCACCATCTGCAGCAAGACTCACCTCAAACACTGTTGGTCTGAATCGTTTCCTTTAGAGTTATTAGGGACAAGACCTTCTTAGGTTGCAAATCGACTGAGACAGGTTCTCATGCGCTAAATGCCAGCCAAAAGAGCTATGCTAGGGTTAGAAGCTGCACAGTATTTCCTTTCCACACATTGGAGTAAAGAAGGAATTGAGAACTTCTCAGCCCATCCTGGGATGGGATGGCTTTGTGATAGCACACACAGGAAAGAATTTATAAAGTGTCATTCACCTAGACTTGTGGACCTCATCTGGTCCTCTGTGATTTCTTCTCACATGATGACCTTTGGATGAAGTGTGAATTTAAGGCTCTTTCCTCTTTGAAATGAGGGACACCATAATCCTGCTTGTCTTGTATTTAATGTTTAAAAGCTGTGTTTCTATACTAGCCATGTAGAGCTAGAAAAATAAATGTTGCATGTAGTGCTTGGTTGACAAAAATTTGTTTGAAGCATTGAAATATTTAAAGACCAGAACACCCAATGGGACAGAAAATGAACCAATGCTGTAAAACAGTGCAGTATGTAAAGAATCACTAGCCCCTGATGGTTACTGCTAATGTGATATTAATGTTTTTCTCAGGTAATGTAATACACCCACAGTATACAAGCACTACAACAATAACAGTTATAATCTTGGTTCATGGCCAAGGCACCCAATTCGAATGGCGCGGTATGTCATAGAGACTCCTGATTCTTTGCAATATTCTAATGCTTTATCAGTATCTGGAGGCAGAAATACTTTTCGGTTTATGTAAATGCCAGATAGATTCTGCAGTCCTTCCTTGGTCAAAATTCTCTCTGAGGTGATAATTGTGCATGTGTAAGGATGGCAAAAGCAAGCCCTGTGTTTAAATGGCTTTGGAATTTCAGTGGAAGTCACAGATGCTTTTCTGATTTATTGACAAAACGAGGAGGTTGGAAGAAGGGGAGGTTAGAGGGCGTAAGGCTTGTGTGAATTCAGTCTTGCTTTCACTAAATCCCCTGGGAACATCCTAAAGAGACGTCAGGTATAGAAGCAAACCCACACCCTTTGATGGAGAATGCAGTGAGCTTCCTGTAGAGGGAAGGAAAAAGCACCTTCAGACACAAATCCTGAGAATAACAGACATTTCAGTGATTTATGGCATTACTTCCATTGGAGAGTATAAAGTCCCAGAACAATAACCATTCTGCAACCTAGGCATGCCAACGTTGTACCATTGCCTGAGACCTAGGAGAAAAATTAACTTTATCATAAACAGCTCTGAAACTGAAAAACCTGGTTTTGTGTTCAGCTAAAGAGAAATGCGAAGGAAACTAACAGAGTATGAAGAACTAACCTGAGTTTTATTTTCATACTTTTGCACTTGAATAAAATGTTCATTTAAATGAAATGTTTGCAAAGGATCCTTAGCCTGACAGTGCTGTGTCTGCTGCAACCTGGCCCTGCCTGCCTTCCCTTCAAAGCCTGAAGCCGTGAGCAGCATGGTATGGAGATGCAGACCTGGCTGCAGCTACAGTGCTTGGGGTCCCGAAGCAGTATAGGCGTGCTTCCCCAAAGGCAGGGTTTACTACCTTAAGTGTTGTGGGTCTAATCACTTTCAGACTGAGCTGTTACGTTGGTAGGGAACACATACATGAACATGACAAACTCTGCATCACTCTTCTGTATGTGATGTGGCAAGGGTAGTCAGGTCCTGGGCATCACTGGTGTACCTCGTACTACTGCAACACTTTTGGTAAATGGTATCAGTTATCAAGAAAGTATCAAGAAAGGACTGCTTTTGTTGAAATTAGCAAGCAAATTTTGGGGGTGAAGTATACTTTTCTGTTTCCTTTTGATAGAATATGTTTGGTTTCCTGACAGTTCATAAATTTCCATTATTTTCAATGAATCTTCAAGCAACAATGGGTGAAATTCATTATTAGCAGAGGACTAGCTCAGAAGCCTTGTGCTGCAGGTAAATTACATCCTAGTGTGACCCAATGATGTTCTATTGAATAGGGAAATGCGCTTTAGTGACTGTTCTAGACATGCAAGTACCGAGAAGGGCAAAGTTAAATGTGCACAGGGAAGAGCAATATTATGGTGTTCCTTATGAGGTGCAATGTCTGGGTTAAGCTATCCTAGTTCTTAAAGCTCCCAAATGGGCTGACTTGGAAGGCTGTAGCAGATATGCAGAAGGTTTTCTGCTCTGTGTTGCCAGTTTAAAGTCTCGTCCACCTTCTGGACTTCAGTGGGTTAATGTCAGCATAAAAAAAACCCTAAATAATGGAATAGAAGGGTCTGGTCTGGAGAATGCTTCTCTTCCCTTGTATGGAAGGCTCTTTGCTAGAGTCACACCTTGGAAAAAGTGCACGGAAAAATGCTGTTTCAATAATGATATGTATAGAATGCCTTCAGCTGAAGATTTTGTTTCTCTTGCTTGCCCTGTGCAAGGCAAAGTGAATGTTATTCTCTACAAATCTGGCATTTAGTGGTTGAACTGGAGTCGTTACCATTTTGTATCTATTCCTGCAAGACTCAGTTTATTCAAGATTTCCTGTAAAATCACTTTTGGCTGAGTAAAGTCCATGAGTGTAGGTCGGTCTGTTGGCACCAACTAAAACAAGACATTTAGCCATGAAAGCAGCAAAGCTTAAAAAACCACAAGGGGATGACTTGTAGGTTCTGTGTTA